TTTTAGCAATATTATGTAGACTTACCTTCTACAAACAGATACATCTTGCTATCTGAACTCAATCCAAATATACTTGATAAACTTCAGGAAGGATTCCTCCCTATGTGAACTCTTGATTCTTGCTATATAAAATGCAGAAAATGGTTCTCTGAAGTAAGACATACATCTCCCAAACTGTATTTATAACGTACAGCTTCTACGGAAACAACAGCACTTTTGTGAAATGTCACAACCCCCCACCCCCAGTCCCCCACTGAATGTTTCAGTTAGAATGTTGTACAAATAAAAATAGGTTATATGTTAACTGAATAGTTAGCCCTGCACCCAACCACCATACCAGTCACCGAGGTACAAACAGACAGTTTGGCCCCCATTGCAGACAGTTTTAATAACTCCATTATCAAAAGTTTATAGCATTTAATATGTTCTTTTTATAAAAACAAGGAAAATTTTAAGTAATTTTAGACTACCTTTCTCAGTTCAGGGAAACCTCTGCCTCTCAGGCTCAAGCCATCCTCCCACCTCAGCCTCCCGAGTAGCTGAGACTATAGGCACATAAAATCACACCTGGCTCATTTTGTATTTTCTGTTGCACTAGGGTTTTACTGTGTTGCTCAGGGTGGTCTTGAACTCCTGAGTGCAGGTAATCCACCTGCCTCGGCCTTGCCAAGTGTTGGGATTACAGACATGAGCCATCATGCTCAGCCACACATACCTATTTTAATACTTGACGAAACAAAACTCTTAGCAAAATAGATTAGGGCTATCAGAAATGCCTCCAAAGATGAATTTATCAGATTTTATACAAAAGAATATTTTCCATTTCTTTTTAAACTAATAGCTCATCATCTGTGCCCAAGAAGTATTTGAAGAAACAGATGTCTGAAAGAAATGATGGGCTTTTCAGTCTTTTTATCAAGAAAAAGAGGAATTACACAATGTGTAATGTAGGCCTCCAGCAACCCTCACCGCATAGGGCTTGCTGCCTCAGTGGTGCTTAAAGGAAAAAACTGACACAAACCCAATTTAGTAAAAGATGCCACTTTTTCTAATAAATTATATTTATTTACAAAAGGTCTAATTTTATATAACTAAGGTTCTTTTACATCAGAATAATATATAAACAGGTGAAAATCCGGTAATTACAAACACAGAAAATAGAAACCTTGTTCCCTTATTACTCACCTTTCAGAACAAGTCCTTGGCTCAGTTGTAGAGGTAGGCAATACCAACACCTACCGAAGTTTGCAGGGAGGACCCTACCCTGCCCCCCAAATGTTTACACATAGTACACTTAAGATACCTTAAGAACAGTAGGGGAAGAATAGCATCAAGGAATGGCTTAGTTTGAATCTGATCTAATTATTAGCCACTCACTGTTTCATAGTCCATGAAAAGGGGCAGGGAGGATTAACCAGTATAATTGTCAACTTTACAAGTAAGGTAATTAGCATCAAATTAACAATTACCAATCACTAGCAATGAGATGGCCTGGAACTAAATCCTACTGAGAATCACAAAAGCAGTTTTGATAGTCTTTATATGGCAAGTTTAAAAAGTGGAGAAGCTATTATAGCTAAGCTTAAAATGGAGGGTTAGAGGAATGTGTGGGTAATTAGGGCAAAATCATCTCTCACTTTCCACCTCACCTTTAAGACAGCTCCAGTAAACTGAGTGCCTGACATGTCACCATGCTTCAGCCCTATTCAAAAATAGCCCAAAATCATTAGTTTTCAATTTTACATTGTATATTCTCACAAGTTTTGGGCATGTCTGAAGTAAAAGTTAAGGTACAGTCACTAGACCTTATTTTAGGTGCACTTCAATTATGACCATGGCTTTAGTGGTGGGTTAGTATGGTTTATTGCAGTGATTCGTTTTTAAGCCCTTTAATACAGATGATGGGTATCATGGATGCAAGATGAGTATGTATTTCAACTAATATTTTACATTCATTCAAAAAGTGCCTATTATGTGCCAGGCACTGTCCTATTCCACAGGGATATATAACAGTAAATGAACCAGACAAATCCCTGCCACCGAGGAACTTACATGCTAACTTACAGTTAAGTCAAAACAATTGGAACACATGGAAACAACTGGAAACTTAAGACCAATGTAAGAATAAGGATGGTAAGATCATCAGACTGGTATATGCCATTACCAGAAACACAGAATGAGATTATAAGCCTGTAAGAACACAGTTCCATGAAAGTAATGACATTATTTTGCTTTCTTTTCATGTAAAATGAGTGCAATTTTATGTGGAGAATGTAGGATGGTTGAATTAAAATCTACCTAACATTGAGAAAAATACATACCAAAGAGAAAAGAACAAGTCTCAGACTTAAGATAAAAGCAATTAATGTACTCTGCTTCATTTTGTTTAGAAACAGTTTTAAAAGCTGAAGTTTTTTAGTTTTATATTTAAATTATATAATATATTTAAATATCCCCTTTTAAAAAAATTATTCATCACTCCTCCCTGGGTACTATGTGATTACAAATAGTTCTCTCTTACATAGCATCTAAGCTTTAAAAAGAAAAAAAAAACAATTTTTCATATAAAGCGGTTACTACTCCTTTCTGGGTGTAAAAATAAGAGTGGTGGCATAGCCAGTACTTAGCTGACTATAAGACCGGAAGAAAACCAGAACATTTAGACAAAATTTTTTTAAAGCATATAACCAAGTTATATAATTGAATGAAAACTGAATTAGACAGTTTGAAACTATGAAAACTTTCCAGAAAAATGCACACAGATTTCTTTCTAGGAGTTTTTACAGTTTCTTCATCCTACCGTTACTGACTGCCTTATACCTTAGGACAGTCCTCTTTCATATTATAATTGTATACACAGTGAGGCCCAGTTAAGCAAAAGTCAAAAGATGACAAAGCTATGAAAAATCATTATCAAACTTACCGGAAGGCATAAAATGCACTTTTAAAGTTGGAAAACCTCAATAACTTATATGCTGAAGCTACTCTAGCTAATGATAAAAAAATGCCAGCTACTATGTTGAAAAAAAATGTGGTGGGATCACTGCTTTTATTTAAAAGCATTACATTATTTAAATTCACTTAGGAAGGGTGTATACTTCATAACTGATTAGCCACATTATCTAACTCTTCATACAAATTCAATTTTCCCACAAATTATGAACTGGGAGAAAAATACCAAATATTGACCAGGCATGGTGGCTTATGCCTGTAATCCCAGCACTTTGGGAAGCCAAGACGCGTGGATCACAAGGTCAGACGTTCAAGACCAGCCTGGCCAACATGGTAAAACCCCATTTCTACTAAAAACACAAAAATTAGCTGGCACCTGTATTCCCAGCTACTCAGGAGGCTGAGGCAGGAGAATTGCTTGAACCCGGGAGGGGCTGAGATTGTAGTGAGCCAAGATCATGCCATTGCACTCCAGCCTGGGCGACAGAGCAAGACTCCGTCTCAAAATAAATAATAAAAAAAAATAAAGTATTTAAAGTCCTGATTTTGAATAAGCATGAAATTAAATGTATAAGCGAATTTGATCCAACAGTTCATTAATATTAATGACACTGAGGGAAAATAAACCCTCAACATTTTCCTAAGACCCTGAAGCTTTAATGAAAAGTACAAATTCCCTTTATCTGAAAATAAACACACTTTCCTGTTTTAACATATTTGTTCAACTCTGATAGAACCAGTATTCTAAGACATTTCAGTTTTTTTACCAAACTGAAGATTTAGAAACATAACCTATTAGTTTAAAATTATTCACAGAGAGTTCTAACAAAATCTTATCACCTGTGCCTTCAGACTGTCAACTATCTTTCTGGCAACTAAATCCCATTTGATGGGATCCTGAAAGGTAGACAAAGGACCACAGTCACTTAAATTATATCTTTCATGGCAAGGATGTTGCATTTTGAATTGCAATTTGTTTACTACTATAGTTGTTTTTCAGTAAAATAATTTTCATGGGTGAACTACAGGGAAACAGTGTTGTAGGGATTTGCAGTTATAGTAAGATTATCTCTGTTAAGAAATACGGGAATCTATTTTGAGGACATGCTAAAACACATCAATAGCTTTTTATTTAAATAGAAAAATCAAAACTTTAAAGTTGTACTTTGAAAATCATTCATGGAAGTAATGAAAACAATTTTCTTAAAGATTCTAAAATTCTTTTGTGAAACATCACTAATATATATTTGCCAATATCAAATGCATATTTTAAAGATTCGCCACTGACTTCCATGTCAGGTGATTGACATGATTGGCAATATTAACTTACTAAAATGGGACCTCTGAAAATTGAGTCTAGACAACTCTCTGTTGCCAAAGTTATGTATTTTGACTCTAATATACAACGGGAGACTAATCTCAAGTAAATGATTACTTCACATTTTCTCCAAGATGAGTCTTCCTACAAAGCCTGATCATAATTCCTAACAGAAAAATAAATTGGGAGACAAACTGAGAAACAATCCCTTCCCCCACCCCTTCAGCCTTTAAAAAGTAGAATTATATTTAATTCAAATGAGGAGAAAAATGGGAGCGAGACATTCTGGTCAGGCCCACTTTCAAAACTCACTAAAATGATAAAAAAAAAACTTTCTGTTCTTCTAAATCCCACCTTGAAATAGGATCTCTTCAAGTATACAAATTAAAAGAATAACATAATACAAAAGAATAGGTGCTGAAATTTACTTACTTAAAAATCTCCTGCACTGAAGGAAAATAGTATAAATTATATTACCAACCTTCAAAAGTTAGCATGTAAGAGTATTCTATCTTCAATCCATTGCCCCTCTAAAATAGTCTGTAAAAAATTCATAGGTGAAAAACAAATCTAGGAACCTCAAATGCACTGATTTATAATGTTCTTAAATATCAAAAAAGGAAAGTAAACTAGCTGTGTGGGTAAGATGAAGCAAAATTTCAGGGATTTAGTACCTTTAAAATGATCAAACAATTTAGCTCAACAGTTTAAGTAGAAATAAATACTAGTACACACTAGAAGAGAAGGTTTAATAGTTGATAAAAATGTACAAAAATATTCAAATCAGAAATGCTTTAGAATGTGTACCACGAAGTCAATACTTCTCAGTGAGTAGGGGAGGCAAAATACTTCCTCAGTAGCAGGGGAAAAAAAGCAAGAGAAAGACTGAATTTAGAAAAAAAAGACAACTGTTAAAGAAAATGTTTAAGTCTTTTTTTTTTTTAGACAAGGATATTGCAACTATCACTTAGAGTCTGGTGGCACATTCTTTAGTAGGTCCTTAAGGCAATATATTTAAATTAATTTACAATTTGATTTGATGTTAAAGTTTTTTTTTTTTTTTTTAAACATCACCTCAAAATAGATGCTCAAAATAATGCCCTCACAATAGCCTTTTTAAAATGTATTCAGATGTTTGATAAAAAATAATGGTGGCTTTATTATAGTAGTGCTCATTAGCACCACTATAATTAAGGGTCTACCAAGTTTCCAGCAAAAACACCTATTTCTTAGGAGTTTCACCATAAAAGATCACATTGGCTTTAATCAGTTGGGTAGTGCACAAAAAAGCAGTTTTATCAGTTGCTGGTGCTTTTTTTGTACTACTATATTATCAAAAAAATTTTCATTATATCTTCAAAATCCAGCTTCTATAAAGTAAATCAAATCACTTCATGACTTAGATTTTAGAACAAAGTAGAGACATCTGCAGTTATCAGTAAATTGCCACCTTTAATCCATCCTACAGTGCCCTGTGAAAGGGTCACAGAAAGACAGTTATGACTGTATGAAAATATGATTCTTGATACAGAATCAGAAGTTATTTTCAATTTCCTTTGCTTTTATAAAGTCCACGATAACAATACTTAAATGCACTTTTTTTTTCCTGTGATATAATTAAAACCCAGTGTTATTTCAGTTGAACTTAAAATATAGTCCCTGGTCTGAATTAGACTTTAAATCATACTGTAAACATATATTTGGTATAATTTATTGATCATCATCCAGTTGCTCCAAAAGGGTTCTTCTGCGCTTTTCCAATTCCCCTTCACTCAGTTCACTGCCAGAAGTATCCCAATTACCCTGAAAAGACATTGATTACAATTATAGCTGACATCAGTACTCAGAAATTTAAGTGCTAAGCCTTTGAAAAAAGAAACCAGTATCTATATATAAATTCTCTTCCAAAGAAACACATTTCACAGGGTTTAAAGATCATGTGAGTAAGAAAAAATATTTCCATTTAATAGAAGCCAGGTATTCATTTCCTAGATAATATATTCCTTGCTAATTCTGTAGATTCCCAGTGGTTCCAGAAGAATTATCACAGAAACAGAATATATGCTTTAAGCATATGGATTCCTGTGACAAGTAAATAAATATACACAAAACTTACGAGCAGGACAAGATTTAGGATGAACAAACAAACAAAAATAATGCTACACTGTATGTGAGATACAACCTTTGAAAAGTGGATAGTTCACCTATTGTCCTCTTTCATTCACTCCAGGGATTTCATTTAACCCACTATATAAGCGGCTAAAAAGTACAAAGGAGGCATTCACTCTTCACTGACGATGTGACTCAGACTCACTGTTTCAGATCTTAAAAAAAAAATCCACCCTATACCAACGAATCAGAATATCCAGAAATCCCTAACAGCTTTATCTACATAGTTTATGCTCTCCAGTGATGATCCACAGGCATTTACCCTTGCTAAACCCACAGCATTCGCATTACTATTGCAATCATATATACATATATTTGAAAAACTAAGGACTAATTATGTGATCTGTTATTGAAATCTTAACTTTGGCTTGTATTCTCCTCTTCTATTCATTTATTTGCCCTTCCTCCAGCCCAAATCAGTATTTTTTTTTTTTTTTTTTTAGACGGGGTTTCGCTCTTGTTACCCAGGCTGGAGTGCAATGGCGCGATCTCGGCTCACCGCAACCTCCGCCTCCCGGGTTCAGGCAATTCTCCTGCCCCAGCCTCCTGAGTCGCTGGGATTACAGGCACGCGCCACCATGCCCAGCTAATTTGTTGTATTTTTAGTAGAGACGGGGTTTCACCGTGTTGACCAGGATGGTCTAGATCTCTTGACCTCGTGATCCACCGGCCTCGGCCTCCCACAGTGCTGGGATTACAGGCTTGAGCCACCACGCCCGGCCTCAAATCAGTATTTCTAAAAGTTATCGGAATTGCTACCTTTTGAAACAAAGGATTTAATAACAGTGACAACTGTAGACCTCTGGAGAATCCCAGATTTAGTCTCTCACTTAAAAAAGTTTTTGAAGTAAGAAATGTCCAGTGGCACTACTTAGTAATCATATATCCTTTCTTAGTGAGTTAAGGCCATAATTACAGAATGCTATATTTTAAAAATATCAAATTTAGGAGATCAAATCTAGGGTCATTCATCACCAAAAACCAAGATATTGTGTGAAATGTGGTTAACTGAATTTTCATTGTTTTCTTCAATGGTAGCACATCTGGAAAAAAGACTATTTATTCAACACCATCATGGTTTAACCACAGAATCCATTTTTGTATTTTGAAAAAACAGGTATGAAACAATTCTAAACACTTACAGAATCCTTTCCAGTCTTTTTCTTAGGCGATTTGTGTTTTGATTCTGATCTTTGTCTAGTTCTGTCTTTTTCGCTTTCCCGATCTTTTTCTTTTTTATCCTTCTCTCGCTCAGCATCGGATTCTGGAGAGTCCTATATGAACAGAAAATAACAGGTTAGCATTTTGATGAAGATACCATTCTCATATAGGTAATATTTAAGAACATCTACGTATAACAGGTTATGTGTTCTTAGAGTAATGAAATGTAATGTGAATTGTTAACCTCAGGGATTTAGAATTTACCCAAGATTCATGGGGGACAGCTTTCTCTTGGGAAGGATAATATTCTGACAGGATAAAATATCACTCATGAGACTTACTACCACATCAGATCTGTAGTATCTATTATGTAAACACAGAGAGAGTACATTTTTTACCAACCCAATATAATACTGGTTTATAAATGTACATAGGATACTGCTATTAGCTTTTAACACATAAGGCAGACAACAGTTGTATTAATAAAATAATTTTCTTGAAATTGCTGAGAAGCAGGAATTATTTAAAATTTAAGTGCTTAAATAAATGGTTCTTCATCACTTATGTACAAATTCAAATTTTAAAAAATGTAATTCAATAGGTCTGTGGTAACACCCAGGCCTTCACATTTTGAAAAAGCTCCTTAGCTGGATCCTAATGAATACCTAAGATTAAGAACTACAACAGTAGAGGAGTGGTTGTTTAAACATTTAAATTTATGGTTCTCAACAACAGCTGCCATCTACACATACACACAAATATACATACATATAGAGACACATGCACACACATCTCCCTGAGTCTTTTTTCTAGAAAATTTTAAAGACCAGAATAGGGGATTCTAACACTGGTATGTGTATTTTTTCAAAGCTCACCAAATGATTTTAATGGAAGATTAAGGTGAAGAGCAACTACAAAACTTGAAGTTTACGTGCCCACCTCAACCGTCCTAGGCTGCACAGGACTAGAGAGAAAAAGGTTCTATGATTTCTGAGGCAGTTAAGGGCAAAAGCGTAGGTGAAATGTAAAAATCAGAAGCTTGCTTACAGATTTATGTCTCCTTTTCTTACTTTTCTTCTTATGCTTTTTTGACTTTTTATAACTTCTCTCTGAGGAGCATAAAAGGAAAAAAAAAAGTGTCAGAAATGGAGTATATCAGTGTCAATGATTTAATCAAATAAACAGAAATGCTCACCAGACTCTGCACTAGAAGAATGTTCTGAAGCAGAACGAGACTCTGACCGTTGTCTTTTCTTCTTTGAATGGCTATCATCATCATCTGAATCTGACCCCTAAAAAATACACATAATTGCATTCATAATAATGCTAACACTTCAATACACTCATGGTGCCATGTAATAAATTCCCTTACCGATCGAGAGCGAGAACGTTTCCTATGATGTTTTTTAGATTTCTTAGAATGTTTCTTGTTCTTTGAATGATGATGCTGACATTCATGCTACAGGGACAAAAGAAAAAAGAATATTTCAAGAATTTACACTTAACCGTAGACAGACTGTAAAGAATCTTTAAAAAGCTACGGAAGTTCATAGAGTAAAACTCTACCATATATAGGTATGTAATCCCTTGAAACTGTGCAAAGAATCGTCATTTTTTTTTTTTGTTCCTTCTTGCCCATCCTATACCCACTCATTTGGACATCTAAACAAAACAATGTTAAAAACTATTAGTAGACAAAGTAGCTTTTTTTTTTTTTTTTTCTTCTAGAGACCATGTCTCGCTCTGTCACCCAGGCCAGAGTGCAGTGGTGCGATCTTGGCTCACTGCAACCTCTGCTTCCCAAGTTCAAGCAATTCTCCTGCCTCAGACTCCCCGAGTAGCTGGGATTACAGGAGTGGGCCACCATGCCTGGCTAATTTTTGTACTTTTGGTAGAGACAGGGTTTCACCATGTTGGCTAGGCTGGTCTTGAACTCCTGACCCCAAGTGACCTGCCTGTCTCAGCCTCCCAAGTGGTGGGATTACTTTTTCTGGCTGAAAAAGTAGTTTTTAAGAAGAATGAGAATGGTGTGGTTTAGAAGAAAAGTATAATATGCAGTCACATCTGCTTTTAATGACTGTGAAATACAATGACATTCAGGCATGCTTTCTCTGATCAATCCGGCATTGGTCAGCAAGCTAGGCTGAGAACTAAGATAAAAAACAACCTGAGAGCTATCCTTGAATTGAGATACATAAGGTTGATGTCAGAATAAATGCCAAATCTACTCCTCTTTCATTTCCCCCAAAAAGCTATTTCCTTCCTCCTCAAACAAGACATCCTTAGACATCCATATGTTGTCTTTGTGGATTTTTACTCATTATAACAATTATTAGGCTAGCAGGGATGGGGGGTGCTGCAGTACAAGCTCCTCGCCCCTAAACATGTCTATGGCTTTGAGAATAAATTCTACCTCAGTTACTTAAGTGAAAATGGGAAATCTGGATCTCAGAATGGACTCTTATCCTTTTCATCTCACTGAACACTAACTTACCTTTCTTGAATACCTTAAGGCTCAGATTATTAAGGCCCAAAAATCTGAATGTGTTCAGCCCTTCTGTATGGTACCATTACCACCTAACTACTTTATCCTAGTATAGATCATGAAAAGATCTGGAGATTCTTCAACTGGGAGAAAATAGGTAAGACATTAGAGCAGAGCTTCTCAAAATTAAATGTACATTTTAATGCTTGGGAATCTGGCTAAAATGAAGAGTCAGATGCAAGATTTCTACCGATGGGGCCTAAGGTTCTTCATTCCTAGGAAGCTCCTAGGTTCGAATTTCCTAGGTAATGCAGATGCTTCTGGTCTGCAATACATTTGGCACAGAAAACATCTAAAGGCCTAGCATAGTTGCTCATTTTACAATCACAGTACTTTAGGAGGCTAAGGCAGGAGGCCTCCTTGAGGTCAGCCTGCCCAACATAGCAAGATCCCATCTTTATAAAAACAAAAACCGAAAAAGCAAAAAGCCAAGTGTCATGGCACGTGCCTACAGTCCCAGCTACTCGGGAGAATTGTTGGAACCCAACAGGTGAAGGTTGTGGTGAGGCATAATTGAACCGCTGCACTCTGGGCTGAGATTGGGTGATAGAGTAAGACCCTGTCTTAAAAAAAAAAAAAAAAAAAAAAAAAAAAAAAAAAGAAGCCAACAGGACCACATCTAGAGGCAGCTGTGAAACAATACAGGCCTATGTGGGTACACGTTACAGAAAAGGCTGTGGTTAACAATAAATCCAAAGAAGTAAGAAATAGTCAATTTAGTGACCGCTATGCCCATTTACAGTACAAAACTACAGCATTAAACACATAGTAGTTTTTAGCTTATAAATATTAGCTAGTCTAGAACTGACAGCATGGCATACTTGCTAAAGGCATTGAGCAAGGTCATCATGCCCGGCTTCCAACCCTGTAAGTTACTTTACTTCTCTTTGCCTCAGTTTGTTTACCTATTAACTTCACAGGCTTGTTGAAAGGATTAAGTTCATACATTTAATATACATAAAGCAATTAGAACACTGATCCACATATGCATCAAATACTATTATTCAATAATTATTGGTCAATTCAGCATACTTACAAGGGCCTAAATGAAACTGCTAACAAAATACTCAACTTTTTTTTTTTGGAGATGGAGTCCCAGTCTGTTGCCTGGCTGGAGTGCAGTGGCATTATCTTGGCTCACTGCCAACCTCTACCTCCTGCGTTCGAGTGATTCTCCTGCCCCAGCCTCCTGAGTAGCCAGGAGTACAGGTGCCCACCACCACTCCCTGCTAATATTTTTCTATTTTTTTTTTTTAGTAGAAATGGGGTTTTGCCATGTCGGCCAGGCTGGTCTTGAACTCCTGACCTGAGGTGACCAACGCCCGCCCAGCCTCTCATAGTGCTGGGATTACAGACATGAGCCATGGTGCCCAGTGAAAGTTACCTAACTATTAAAGTGACCTCAGATGTTACTATTTAATTGCTTATTTTAACAAAAATTACCATTTATTCCATTATTTTCCAGAAACTCTGGGTTTTCTACACAGCTGTGGTATATCTCAAATGTGCTCAAAAGCTGTTTTCTATCTGTTTTACATAAAGATTTTAAGTTTTCTTTAAGTTTACTAGTGAATCCGTGTGGCTGCCAAATTGCTCAGTTTCTAAAACTTTCTAAAAATACGAAACATAGCCTTCACATACAAATCTTTATATTCCTATGGAAACTTATAATTTGTTTCACTTAAGAACAGTTTTTATAGGGGTGAAAAACATTCTCTAACCATCCCAGGTAACTACTTGTATAAAGCAGTGAGTATTAGGCAACATATTTTCATCATTCTAAATTCCTCAATTTGTTTACATTTTGTATATGGGAATTCTAAAATTACCTCAAGCACATGCATAAAATCTTTAAATATTCGCTTTCTTTCAGATTCTAGAGTTATGTCCTCAAATGCTGGCNTTTACAAATCTCTCACGGATCTGAAAAATTCAGATATAAAATAAATACGTGAATACCAGAAAAGCACACCAATACAGCCAAAAGGAATCATAAAAGCAAGTGAAAACTGTGATGAACCAGTCCCCTTAAAGTGCATTATTTCTCCCCTTTGAAAGCCCAAACCATTCTTTACAAATATTCCTAAACGCAGAGTCACAGCTGATTAAATGTATCTAATATATTCTACAAATAAATTTGGCTTATTTTTGTGGCTATCAAATGAAAAATAGTGTATTTTAAATTTCTTTCTGAACTGTAAAGACAAGAATTCATTAGAAAAAATTTACAAGTATACATACATCTTCCCAGACAGCATCCAATTCTATTGGAGGAGCAGCTTGTTTTAACATACTCTTAAATGCAGATTCTTTTCGTTTCATCTTCCGAGCCTCTTCTTTTTCTCTTTCACGTTCACGGGCTTCTGCCTTTTCTAGTAACTACCAGAAAATCATATTTATTCAGTTATAACAGTATAATCACTGTTAGCTAAAATAATTTATTAATTTAGGATCACTCATTGTTTAAAATAAGCTTGTCCAACCCATGGCCCACAGGCCGCATGTGGCCCAGGACAGCTTTGAATGTGGCCCAAAACAAATCTGTAAACTTTCTTAAAATATTATGAGGTTCCTTTTTGCGATTTTTTTTTTTTTTTTCATCAGCTATAGTTAGTGTTAGTGTAGTTTATGTGTGGCCCAAGGTCTGTTTTATAAGGGCCAATTTATGTATGATACCAGTAATTTGAGCGACGGAAGTTTAATACTAATTTATCATATAAATAAATTTTTTTCTTTTACCTTATCTGAAAGACTGGCTACTACTCAGTAAAAGTCTATTCATATTCCCCTATTCCAATACTCTGCAACTTAGCTGCTTTTATCTGAGTAAGTTAAAAACTATACTGTTAAACTAGTTATTTACAACAGAAAAAATTACTTACACTATTGAAAGCCAATTTGATATTTCCAGCATCTAATGTAGTTGATCTTTTAGTTGAACTAATTATTGCCACGAAATCTTCAAAAGTGGTATTTACTTCAACTACAAATCCTTTATCCTAAAAAAAAGGAATCTTGTTAACTTAATAATGCATAAAGCAAAGGAATATAGTACCAACTTTTAAGATATACTATAGGTTAAAAGGTAAAAACAAATATACTTGTTTACCTTTAGAATGTCTTTTATTATCTTCTTCTCATCATGATAACGTGCTTTAAGATCCTCAACATAAAACTTGAAAAGATCAAGTGCAGTTGATCCTAATGAAAAAACTAAAGAAGTCAAAAGCTAGCTCTAATCAAAGAGCTGCAATTACTTTTTTGTTTAAAAAACAAAAACAAAGCACCCTTTCCCCCAACACAATCACCTTTGCCTTTGGCCCATTCCAACTACTACCATAATGGTAAATTAAAAAAGAAAATAATCTTACCAGGCTGACCAAGCATATTAGTGAATCTAATGTCAGAACTAATAGTTGGATACAATTCCATCCAAGATGACATAGAATGTAGTTGTCCATGTTCATGTAATTCATCTAAAAATATCTAGGGAGAAATATTGTATTTGAAAAGTCATCTAAGTACACGAGAAATAAGAGTCTAACATGAAAACACACAAAAACTTTGACATAGTTAAAAACCTTCTATCAATGTTACCAAACCTGTTTGGGTGCAAAGAATATTTGCTATTTGAGCAAAGCAACAACTGCCTTTAGGCAAAAAAAATTTTGTCCTTTAGAGAAAATGACTTTTGAAATACCACATTATCTTCCTAAGGTTCTACTTCCTACCCTTTAAGAAAGAACATAATTTTTAGCTTTAAAAAAAGTAAAAGTTAAACTATTGGTTACCTGCCTCAAATGATGAGGCTAAAGAACGTATATGCAAAGTTTCCTTAAATGTATACTTTTTGCCTTTAAACATAGTGCCTAACATGTTCTAGGTATTCTTTTTTTTTTTTTTTTTTAAACAAATATGGAGCCTTAGGAGAAGAGATGTATAATTTTCCCAAAGCAGTTTGGAGACCTAGGATTCAAACCCACATCTAGTTTCAATTTCCACACTTCCTGCTTCCAACCCGATCCTGAGGGAGTTTAATCCTTATACACCAGGGGGATCCCAACCCCTGTCCACGGAACCGGAACCCAGTCACACAGCAGGAAGTGAGTAGTGGAGCAAGCATTACCGCCTAAGCTCCACCTCCTGTCAGATCAGTGGCAGTGTCAGATTCTCACAGGACTGTGAACATACTGTGAACTGAGCATGCCAGGGATCTAGGTTGTGTGCTCCTTTTGAGAATCTAATGCCTGATGATAACAACCCCCGACCCCACCATAGCATGGAAAAACCGTCTTCCACTAAAACGGTCCCTGGAGCCAAAAAGGTTGGAGACCGCTGCTATACACAAACGCCTCTAAAAGAAGCTATAACTCTATATCCTGTTCCCACAATTCCTGTATTTGCACTGTTCAATAAGGTAGCCACTGATCAAATGTAGCTTCTGAGTACATGAAATGTAGCTAGTCTGAGTTGTGATATGCTGGAAGTATAAAACACAAGGACCTTTAAGATTTAGTACCAAAAATATTTGTAATTTTTTTTTTTTTTAAAGTCTCGCTGTCGCCCAAGCTGGAGTGCAGTGGTGCGATCTTGGCTCACTGCAACCTCTGCCTCCTGGGTTCAAGTGATTCTCCTGCCTCAGCCTCCCGAGTAAGTATGATGTGGGATTTCAGGTATGTGCCACCATACCCGGCTAATTTTAATACTTTAGAGATTTTGCCATGTTGGCCAGGCTGGTCTCAAACTCCTGACCTCAGGTGATCCACCTTCTTCTGCCTCCCAAAGTGCTGGGATTACAAGCGTGAGCCACCACATCCGGCCAGCAATTTTTTAAAACATTATGTGTCAAAATATTTGGTTATATTGGGTTAAATTACTAAAATTAGTAAGAAATTAAAATCACGTTTCTGGCATTCACATTAAAATCACATTTCTGGCATTCACATTTTTATTCGCGAGAGGTGTACTAACGTAATATTAGGCATTTATAACTCAACTCACTCCTCTTCAAACAAGACTAAGTATGTCCATACTGCCTTACAACTCTAAAATTCTTTTCTCAAACTGTGTATCTACCCCTTTGTTACTTCCCTTACTCTTTAACATAAATGGAATTCTGTCTTAACCACCATTGTTGTGGTCACCAGGTTCCTCACTTGCTCTCTCTTGAGTCTCTAAAATAGCTTGGAAACCATCTTCAGTGATGCGCTAGTAACCTCTGAACTTACCTCAATCTATCATACCTGCTTTGCTAATATTTCTTGCATTTCTAGGTTGGTGAGATCTGTCTGATAAAGTCAAAGAACCGTGAGACTAAATTTATTTCAATAGTGGATCCCTAACCTGAAAGTCAGAATCACCTGAGGACTATTTTTTTAAAGCAATACAAATTAATATCCAGGTATTTAGATTATTAGAAGATCGATGTGAATTCAGGTTTGAAAACTGCTCTGACAAAACTGTATAGTTCTTATTCTCTTCTATTTACTGGCCCCATTTTAGGGGCAAAAAAGACTTTATCTTTTATATTATGGAAAGCAAGCTGCTTCAAAGATGGCTGAGCCTGATGTTTCGTCTTCCCTTGGCACTAATGACATCTTGGATGACCTAATTCTTTTTTCTTTCTTTCTCTTGGTTGAGGGCGGGCTATGTTTGAATCCTGTACATTGCAGGCTGTTTAGCAGCATCTCTCGCCTCTTTAACTGCTAGATCCCAGTAGCACATTCCCCACAAATAGTAACAAGCACAAAATCTTTCCTGGTTGAGCACCACTGTCTTAGATCCAAATCAGTATTAGTTTTTCTCCATCTTCATCCTTTTTTATGTCCCCTTATATGCTGTTCTCAATTAACTGTATTCATATATATGCTTGGATTGCAAACCTTCAAAGATTTTGTTTAATAAGAGTCCCTTTTATTTTTCGATTCTTCCTTCATTCTCCCCCGCTTGACTGGTTTTCTCTTACCCAAGAAAAGTCTTCCTCTTAACCCCGAGCTTATGTGAACTTTGTCTTATTGAATAACTGAAAGGTATAATTGTACCTCTATTTATCTTTCAACTATATGGCAGACTGTTTAACTTTCCCTACCATGCCAATGTTTACTAAAAGCCTTAAATGCCACTTTTAACAGTATTCTTTCAGTCTTCCTTCCACAGAAATTTCTTAACATGTTATTTTACATAGATTCCTTTACCTTAGGGGCTTCTCAAAGACTCATTTGAAGGACTGTTTAAAAAAATCATATTGTTAGGTCCCATTTCCAGAATTTGATTCTGTAAGTCTGACGTATGATTTGACAGTAACCTTTTTCATAATTTCCCTCATGATACTGATTCTGTGCATCTGGGGATCATGCTCTATCTTAAAACCCCAAACTCTTGGCTATATTCCCCTGGTTCTCCTTGAAAGCCTCAAATGGATCCTTTCCAGACTTGACACTGACTTCAAATACCGGTTTTAAAACTTAAGAAAAAAGAAGTCATAGCTTCCTTGTCATAGATATAATGAATTATCTGATTAGCAAATGAATACTTAATAAAAGAGTCATCATCATAACCATAATTACTGAGAATCTCTCCATTAATGATCTTTTATTGCCTAATGTCAATCTTAATTTAATTCATTTTACTAAAGTCCTAAATAAATCTTTTAAAGTAGCAGCAGAACAGGAAAATTACCGGGCTCAACATCTGAAAGAATATTAATACAACATACTTAACACCAATTATATTAATAGTAATCAGAAACCATGCCAGACACATAGGAATCTGACTCAAAGTCACATTTAGGCTTATTTAAGGAACCATACAGCCTTTACATCAAAATTTCTCTTCATAGTCTCCACCTTCAGTATTATTTGCATTATAGTCTCTCATTTTCTGTGACCCAGATTTCTACCTTATTTTCACTGTATTATTATTTTTTCATATATGTCACCTTATTTTAAATCACTGCAAAACCTTCCTCAGAGACATTAAAGCTTAGGTTGTGGAAGACGGTAACAGCCCTCCTAAAAATCTGTCCTTCCCTTCTTTCTGGGCATATGGCTGCTTAATTAAAAGCTAAGTTTTCTAGCCTCCTTTGTGTAGCTAGGTGCGGCCATTGACTAAATTCTCAGCAACTGAAACCGAATGAAGGGGGTGAGCAGAACTTCTACAACATTAGCTTTAAAAAGAACTGTTTTTTCAACTTTTTTCAAGTTAAAATGTGAAATTCGGGCAGCACACTCCTAACTCTGTAGAGAAGGCTAACAAGCTAGGACACTGGTTCTTAAAGTATGATCCAACAGTATAGATATCACCTGGAAATTTAGAAATGCAAATTTTCAGACTCCACCCCAGACTTACTAATTCAAATTCTTCAGGTAAGGCCAAACAATGTGTGTTTTTAACCATTGTAGAATATGACAGTCTAGGAAATCACTAAGATAAAGGAATCCATCGAGAGTAGTAAATGTTAAGTTTTCATTGAATAAGGACTAAAATCATTCTACTGGCTGTAACGTTTAAGATGGTTAGTAAACTTTGGCATGGTGAGAATAATAATTATTATTATTTTTTTTTTGAGACAGGGTCTCACTCTTTCACACAGTCTGGAATGCAGTGGTGCCATCACAGCTCACTGCAGCCTTGACCTCCTGGGCTCAGTTTCTCCCATCTCAGCCTCCTGAGTAGCTGGGACTACAGGCACACACCACCATGCCTGGCTGATTATTATTTTTTTTGTATTTTTAGTAGAGGCTATGTTTCATCAAGTTGCCCAGGATGGTTTTGAACTTCTGGACTTGAGCAATTGACAGCCTCAGCCTCCCAAAGTGCTGGGATGACTAGCATGAGCCACTGTGCTAGGCCAGAAGAAATTTTTAAAAAGTCCTCCAGGTCATTCTGATACACACTGAATTTTGAGAATGACGGTCTAACGGGATGGCAATGTGCCCTGCCCTAGACCAAAATGATTGTTATTTCAAAAACAAAAACTTTTTAAAGTCATTGTAACCCAGCATTTATCCTAATACAATCATTAATGAAAGAGATTCTGTAATCAAAACTGCATGGATTCAAATTCTGGCTTCACTACTCAGCAGCTGTTGAACTTAGGCAAGTCACTGTACCTCTCCAAGTCCATTTCCTTAGTTATATAAATGTATATAACAAAAACAACAAATACCCTTATAAGGTAAGACTGTCATAAAATTTGAGATTATAAATGTAAATTGTGACTGGGTGTGGTGGCTCACACCTGTAATCTCATCACTTTCGGAGGCTGAGGTGGGCAGATCATGAGGTCAGGAGATTGAAATCACCCTGGCCAACAGGGTGAAACCCCATCTCTACTAAAATACAAAAAATTAGCCAGGCGTGGTGGTGTGCACCTGTAGTCCCAGCTACTTGGGAGGCTGAGGCAGGGGCATGGTTTGAACCCGGGAGGCAGAGGTTACAGTGGGCCAAGATCGCGTCACAGCACTCTCCAGCCTGGTGACAGAGCAAGACTATATCTCAAAAAAAAAAAAAAAAAAAAGTAAATTGTATTAACAGTAAGCAATCAATAAACACTAGCTATTATAACTATTATTAAAATGGGAAATCTGGTGAGATATGAAATGCAAAAAAGTCACTGCTCCATGATATTTTCCATCACTAAGAATAAATAATACTTGATTATGAAAATGAACTATTAGCTAAAAAACATGCAATCCCAGGTCCTTATTTTAGTGTTTAAGAAATTATGGCCCATCCCCAAACTATACCCTAGCAGTCCCTCTGTTGTCTAGAGACTAAATATCAACTACTACTGACTCACCACACATATCTTGTTTTCAGTTATCTCTCCTGTTGTTTTTCCCAACTGAAACCTTATTTATCAATGTTTATCTGTAGAACTTAAAGAGTTAAATGTGTATGAGTCCTCACAAAGCCTAAGTCTATGATTTGAGAACAGCTATCTAAAAAGTGTTAATATCATTTTTCAAGTTCAGTAAGCATAATATAAAACTAAGTAGAAAAGACAGCCTTTTCTATTACCTGGAAGGATTCCCGATTTTTTCGCTGTCGTCTCCTTTCTCTCAGCAAACTCTTCTGTTTTTCTTCTTCTTCTTCCTTTTCTAAAGCCCGAATGTGTTCTTCAAAGCAAATTAATGCATCTTCTTTGTCCATGTCTAAAGTGTTTGCCAGTTAAAATTCAGAGTGTCAAATGTCAACTAGTGAAGTAGTTTGATTATTTGCATTAACTCCCCAAAATTTCAATTTCGCCTGTCAAAAATACTTGTATTTAGGCTAGAGTGAGGTGGCTCATGACTCTAATTCTCAACACTTTGGAAAGGTGAGGTGCGAGGATCACTTGAGCCTAGGAGTTCAAGACCAGCCTGGGCAATACAGCAAGACCCCATCTTTAAACAAACAAAAAAATTTGTATTTAAGCTCAAATATGATTTGTAATTATATGCATAGCAAAGTTTTAAGGAAAATTCCACCAAGAACTCACTAAAAGACGCTCTGAAACATGTCATAGGATAAAACAAAGGACATGCATATGGCAAAACTAATGAAAATATAAGTGTTATAATAAAATCTGTTTGCAACACCATAATTATTCCAGGAGCTTAAGTAGAGAACTGTCTATCCTACTTAAAAAAACTATTGAAGAATGATTTTTAGAGGGGTAGCTGAAAAAGCTATAATTTAAAAAGCAAATGGTTAACTCAGAAAAAGAGTACCTGCGGAAGCCTAATGTAAGATAATTCTAATACATTTTTTGCTTTTTGCAAATCTATAATGTTATTACCTCAAGAAAACAACATAAGTAAAAAGTAATTTAGTTCTTACCAAGTTACATACAAACGGCTAAGCGTAATTTCAAATTTGACCTATAATTTAAATATTTCAAGGATTACCTGATAAAGCTACTTTAAATTTGAAAACATATTGTCATGAATCACAAACTCAATCAGAAAGAAATATATTATTTCAAAATAAAACCCTTTTTCACAAATGAACAAACAACTGCATAAAATTCACTTAGTTATCTCATATGAAAAGTGAAAATAATTATTTGCTGCTAGAGGACACTGTTTAAAACTATTTCTCTTAGCCATTATTCTTACTTTGTAACTCCTCATCTTCTGCAAAAGTTGGATTATCCATCAGATACTGCTGGGCTTCAGACCAAGTGGTAGAGTATGTTACATTAGCCATGTTGTCAAGTATGTTTTTTAAGGCTTCCCAGTTTCTCTTTCGCAACTGCTTTGCTTGTTCCTATAGCAAAAGTATGAATACGTATGTTTTGAAGTTTCAAGAAATATATTTAAATTGCAATTAGTGAAAGCTGCTTTATATTCTAATGGATGACCAAATTTCAAAGGTAAAATCAAATTTCAAGTAAATTTCAGTTACTTTAAATGGCCACACTGCTGACTTTGCTAATGATCTTGCCTAAGTGCTTGGCTTTGGAATTTAGCTTTGAATTTTCCACCTCCTTCTAAAAGCCAGAATCTGGAAATCACGTTTTTGGCTTTCCCCCAATACGCCATAAACCTTTCTACAACTATGTATTACAGTCTAAAACTAACGTTACCACGGACAAGTCACATTGCAGATAAATGCTAATATCTTCAACGACCTTCAGCTATGTTTAAATTTCATAATACTTATATCTATATGTGTTCCTTGAAAAGCACATAACACAAAATGTAACAGTGCACAATGAAAAACAGACATAAGTAAAACAGGTATTTTTAAATGTTGTAAGTTTAAAACTGCACCTTGCTGCCATTCTTGTAACAATCATGTTATAACCAAAGAAACCGAGCATTTTTAAACTTAATGAGCCAAAAACTTATCTTCTTTTCCAAAGTTAGCATAAGACAGCCAATTAATGACAATACAAATAGCGAATGAGTGCTCATTGAGTCTACATCAGTATTTTATATGGTAGATGAATGATAAAGAAGCTTACTATTATAGAAGCTATACATTCCTCTGTAAAGATTACTTCCAATAAATAAATATATCTGCTATACCACATAAACTAGATCAACTAAGCCATAAAAATGTACGTTATAAAACCACTCCTCATCAGAATGAGAAAACATCTTGTGCTATCTGTAAATACCAATAACTAAGAATAATACCTTTTCCTTTTTTGAAAGAAAGAACAAAACATCTTCATAGATTTCAAGACGATCACGTTCTGATATTGCATTCCAAACTTCCATCTCTCCAAACATTTGCTCTGCTTTTCTATTTGTTAAAAAGATTATATTATACAACAAAAATTAACTTTAAGCAATTTTTAAACTTAATTTAAAACTACAAAATGAACACTTTCTAAGTTCATAAATATATTAAAGGCAAGCTCCTGGATAATTACAAAAATCCTAAAAAAAAAAAAAAAAAAAAAAAAAAAAGCACATTCCTCCATCTCTCCTTAGAGATAGAGGGGATAATTCACATTGGGCAATGTTTATGGTCTAGACTAGATCTTTTTCTAGGGGCAGCCACATGGACTACCAAAATGCCTACAGAACTAAATTACAGACTTCTCTGGAATACTGAGTAAAACAAAGTACACATGGAAAATAGGTTTAATAACATATGAAAAAAATTTTAATATTAAATTACCCACAATTTTACATAATAAAGCAACCTAAAATGAAGAATGCTACATAAAACAGTTTATTAAAAATGCTATACCTACTTAATGAAAATGGCCTCTTTTTTCCCACAAATATCAATAATTTTAATGTTTTTAAGTAAAAGGCAATCAAATTTGATTTTTCTTTTCCTTTTTTCTTTGGGGGGGACAGGGTCTCACTGTTACCCCGGAGTGCAATGGTGCAATTATGGCTCGCTGGAGCCTTGACATTCCTGGGTTCAAGTGTTCCTCCCACCTCAGCCTCCTAAGGACCTGGGACTACAGGCACGTGCCACCATGCGTAGCTAATTTTCGTATATTTTTTTTCTAGAGACAGTTTTTCCCATGTTGCCAAGGCTGGTCTTGAACTCCTGGGCTCAAGCCACCTGCCTGCTACGGCCTCCCAAAGTGTAGGGATTATAGGTGTGAGCCGCCACATCTGGCCTCAAACTTGATTATTAAATGCAGTCTTTCTCCCCTTCTTTCAGTCTCTAAAAAACTTAGTAAAAGTCTATCAGTTAAATTCTACATTTAACTACAGATTTATTTTGTACTTCATGAAACTTCTACATTCAGAGTCATTTAGCTTTATTTAATAGGCTCTGGATCAGCTACTGCACATGGCAAAAAAAAAATGACACAAAACAACAATGTAGTAAATATAGGCCATGGAACACTAAACATCTTACTTGTATCTGGTTGTGGAAGTCATTTTTTCATGATTTTCAAGAAAACGCTGAAAGGACTCTTTAGCCTCTTTGTACTTTGATCTTGCTTCTTCTTTTTCTTCTTTCTCTGTCTGGACTTTATAGGCATTAAAGGCTTGCTTTTTTTCACTTAACTTTGCCAAAGCACTAATAGAAAAATATTATGTAAGAGTAAACATTTGCAAAATAATCAAATATTAGTGGTTTGAAAAAACAGTAAAATTGTTTTCACATATAAATTAAGAACATTTCAAAAATTTATTAAAGACAAGGAAATAATTTCTACTTTTAAAATAATTCTTGTTTTATATGTAGCAGGGTACTTGAATTGTTTGATCAGCCTTTGACTTCTTGGTTCATATTAGACATAAAACATCTCTATTCTAGGTATCCTAAACAACAGAAGTCAATGGAGTTAAATGTTGTATCTTTCTACACAACTTTAAATGTGCTACACTTGCTACGCTCAAAGTGAAAAGTAAATAAAAAATTGAAGTACTACCTGTATCGTGGATCATTAATAATCATTTTCATAGCTTGCTCCCATGAAGCATTCGATGGTACCCGCTGAAAATCATTTAAATGAAAAATTAAAATGTCACACAAGAATACTTAAAGTCACATAACAGGGAACCAAGTACAGTACTCACTGCAAACATCAAGCTCTTCCCTTTGCAGGAGTTTGAAACAAGTTTAAAAAAATAGTATTTTATTGGCCTGGCATGGTGGCTCACCTGTAATTCCATTACTTTGGGAAGCCACGGCAGGTACATCATGAGGTAAAGAGGTCGAGACCATCCTGGTCAGGACAGTGAAACCCTGTCTCTACTAAAAACACAAAAACTAGCTGGACAACGTGGTGGATGCCTGTAATCCTGGCTACTTGGGAGGCTGAGGCAGCAGAAATGTTTGAACCTGGGAGGCAGAGGTTGCAGTGAGCCGAGATCACGTCACTGCACTCTAGCCTGGTGACAGAGTGAGATTCTGCCTCAAAAAAAAAAAAAAAAAAAAAAAAAGTTTTTTTTATTGAAGGCAAAGCTATATAATACACCTATGAACTAAAATGAAAACTTTAAACTGAAATTTAAAGATCATAAATGCTTTTCTTCTTAAACTACTGATAAAAGATAAATATTATAAATTAAAAAGGCTTAAATCAAATATTGGATAGAAATGTGCTTGTGAAGTACCTTGTACACAATAGTTTGTGTGGTGAAAGTCAGTTTCACAAAAGTGTTCTTCAAAAAAAAACTAGACTTATTTAGTTGATTTTCGGTTACAACAGTTCATGAGATTGGTATTATTAATACCATCAACATGCTAATTAAAGAGTAACTTCATTTACCAGGTAATTATTACGTGTCACATAAAAATCTATAATGCTTGATGTCAGAAAGCTAAGAAACAGTAAAAATCTGCAATATTAATACCTTTTCTTTCAATAATTCTTTAAAAGCTTGCTTTGCCTCCTCCTTTGTATTCCAAGTATATGTTTTCTTTGCTGGTTGGCTCTCCTCCTCTTCTTTTTTGGGAGTAAAACTAGAGACAAATTTAAATGTGGTATTTTTGAATCAAATAAATTTTTGCTTCATGTAGAAAAATAATGCCTAAATTGTCTGAATGTCTGATGTTGAGCTAAAATTTGACATTTAGAATAAAAGCTATATGAACTCTAAAAACACATTTATCCTAAGACAAAGAAATAGTTTCCTAAAACTTCAGTTATTAAATCATTTTTTAAGACCCTGTACAAATGACAAAATAAACGTTTAACTGACCTAAAACACTAGCTCCTCTGACCAATAGCAATAATAGTTTTAAATGGCCTATTAAACTTATTTACTGGTTTCATATTAGTGCTATAGTAACTCTAAGCATTTGGGCAAGTGTGAATATAAATAATATGTAAGGATCAATCTAATCAGTGTTGACAAACTATGACCCACTAGACAAATTCAGCCTGCTATTAATTTTTATAATTATAATTGTACATGAACATGGCCATGTTAATTTGTTTCACATTGTTTATGGCTGACTGTGCTGCCACAGCTGAGCCGAGTCACTATATAAAGACTGTATGACACAAAAAAACCAACAATATTTCCAATCTGACATTTCAATAAAGTTTGCTGAATACTGATGTCAAACAATAATTAATACAACCCAGAATTATTAACTTGTTTGGCGGTGTTCCTGAAGAGAAAGCCTTATGTTTCTTTCTACATAAAAATAAAGAAATGCATGAGTTGCATGCCAAGGGATCAAAAAAGTACTTTAAGTAGCATGCTTAGGCGAAGAGACACTATAGTAGATACCGACAAAAAATAATCTGTTATGGTAATTAAAATCAAAGCATATTATAATGACTCAGGCACTATACCAAGGAAATGATGAAAAGAATAAAGCAGGAAACAACTGTTTAATGTTAAACTCATGGAAAACATTATTGAAGAAAAGTTTCAGTACGACAAGGTGCAAAATAAAGTTATTCCAAAAAGCCTAAATGTCCATCGATAGGGTGGCACTTACTTTTATGCACAATGAAATAACTCATCATTTGACATGATGGATACACATTTCTATCAATGTGAAAGATGTCTCTGATATATTAGATACATATCATGTATCTTAAATGTAGAGAAAAGGCGGAGAAAGTATAAAATAAAATGTTGATTTCATTTTCATGCCCTCGAATACACCATATACATTTTTTAAAACTTTTTAAACATCAGAAAAAGTTATAATGCTATTTTGACTTTGAGAAACCAATATACAAAAAACAGAAGAACACTTAAAATAGGGGATGGAAAGATGAAGGCAACATGCTTAAATATTAAGATGGATAATCATGTTTGGATCATGAGATTACAGTTAACTTTTTCTTTTAAACATGAGGCCACCCACCCTTAATGTCAAGAAATTTAGCTTGACCTCACTTTCTAAAGCTCTATAAAGCATAGCCCTATAAAATGTTACTAGACTACAGGATATGCAAGTACACACAAACCATGAATGCTGACAGATACAGCTTTGCTTTATTAAAAAGCTGTATTACTACTTTACTCTCACTAAGAGTGAAATGAGAGTTTTCTTTTATCTGGTGTTATCTTTTAAATGTTTCTCTACTTGAATTTCACAGTATTATTTTAGCTTATATTCTTTATTATTATGGCTGAATGGCTTTTCATATACTTCCTAGACAACTAACTTTCTCTGTAAATTGCCTTTTTTTTCTTGGCCAGGTGAAGTGGCTCACACCTATAATCCCAGCATTTTGGGAGGCTGAGGTAGGCCAATAAGCTAGGCATGGTATTGTGACAGTAGTCCCAGCTCCTCAGGAAGCCGAGGTGGGAGAATCGCTTGAGCCCAGGAGGTCGAGGATACGTGAGGCCTGATCACACCACTGCACTCCAGCCTGGGTGACAGAGTGAGACCCCGTGTCAAAAAAAAAGACCGGGGTGGCCTTGCTCTCTCACCCAGGCTGCAGTACAGTGGTGCAATCATAGCTCACTGCAGCCTTGACCTCCTAGGCTCAAGTGATCCTCCTGCTTCGTCCTCCGCAAGTGCTGGGATTACAGGTGTGAGCCACCACGCCCAGCCATAAGCTGTCTTTTTTTAACCAATAATTCATTTTTCTACAAAGCTGTATTTTTTTTTAACTTACTTACAGGAGGTTGAAACCCAAAATACCAACAGCCAAAGAAGAATCAGTACAGCTATCTTAACTGAAAATACTGATAGTTTCTTATTCATGAATTTTTGCATTGATCTCATGTAAAACACTGCATTGAAATATGATGTATGCTGCTTACTAAGGTTTCTAGCAATCTTTTAGATTTGTACCCCAACTCCCTAGCCTTGGCTCTACTTGCTACAATTCCTGTGAACCATTTTTCACGTTTGCAGCATGATCCCCCAAAATTCGGCCTGAAAACGGATCAACTACCTAATGGCTTGATGTTATGATTCTCAAAAAAAAAAAAAATTATTTAAGCAATCAGTGGCCACTAACTAAACTGGCAATTATTTTATTAATGAAATCTGGTACTGATTTTCAGAAGACAAGTTACTAAACTTACTCAGCTACAGTTTCTTGCTTAGATGTTTCTTCTCCAGTATTACTGGATACTTCCACACTTTGATCCTGAATAGCAGGGGTACTAGTAAGTTGTGCTTGTTCCTCAGTTGAAATAGTTACTGTATTCTCATTATCTACAACAGTAGCAACAATGGAAGTAACTTCTGGCTCAGGAACAACTGGAACAGTTCCACTGACAGTATTAGAAGTAGAAGTGGAAGCATTAGCATTGGCAGCAGCAGCAGCTGCTGCTGCTGCTGCTGCTGCTGCAACAACAGCAGCTGCTGCTTCTGCGGCAGCCATGGTGCTCATTGTCGTCGGAATTTCTGTTGTAGGGACTGGGGCTGTTGATGTTGTGGTGCATTCTTCTTGCTTACTATACATTCAAAAAAGAGAACAATGGTCACTTCGTTATTGTAATCAGAAAGGTAAATCAAGCTAGCTTTAAAATTGTCATAAAATCAAATGATTAAGAGAAATAACTGAAGGAAAAAACAGCAAGAAATGTCAAACCCATTAAAAAAGATTTTAAAACCAGACTGTAACTATACTACTTTGACTTAATTCAGTACACATTCATGGTAATTACAGGAACTCATGCAAGTGTGTGCATTTCTAAAAGTTCAGTCAGCGCTCACATTATAAAATGCCCAATCTATCGGATTGTATTACACCATAAAATTTAACCCAAATGAAAAGTTCTCTAAGAACTTTAAATTTTCTACAATTCACCCATTTAGAGGAAACCCTGTGTAAAGGAAGAGAAACACAGATATATTTCATCCACTCCCTAGTCAACTCGCAAACTGAATTTTGGACTTTAACATAATAAGGCATACAGTCCAAATTCTAATAATTGCTGTGTAGCAAAGCATCAAATTGAGTAAATATCCCTCTTCCTATTATTTCCTCAACAAAATGCTATAAGGAGATCAAAATATCAAACCTAACATGTTACATAATTATTTGTATTATAAAGAAAACTGAGCAAACAGAAGGATGTTATAGGAGAGACCAAATTTGTAAATAAAAATTGATGTCCAAAATTGCTTACCTGCTTTCTTCAGCTTTGATCATTGCTATTAAAGAGAGAAAAAGAGTCATCTACTAGTTTTAAAATATAATCCTGAAAATAAGCTTTAAAAGAAGGTAACATATCATATAATAGGATTTCATTTGCCATCCTAAAAAACAAAAAATCACTTTTACAGAACAAATTCTTGCTCCAATGTTCTAGTATAGCAAATAAAGACTAAAACAAATTTAAATAAGAATAATTACTAGGAAAGCTTATTCCATGCTGCCACTTTCCCAAAAGCTGCTGTAACAACTCTATGAAAGTATCTGTGTAATTCTGGAAGAAAACAGTATTTTCTCCAGGGATGAGACTAGTTTGATGTATTTTTAAGATACTAAATTCAAAATGGGATCAAATTTATTACAAAATTCCAGCACATATATACTAGCATTGACAAATAGATAGATAGTTATGCACACCAACTATTTGTAGTAGGGTTATATCAGAAATGAGCTTGATACTTCATAAGTGATCAACTGGGAATCTACCTATCTACAGTATTATTGTTAGCCAATGCTAGTACAGGTAACTTAAACTGAGCTTTAAAGATCTGTACTATTTCAGTTTTCACTCCAGTACATTTTCCTTTGGATGTAACAAAAATATCTTTCATTCGACATCACCAGGAAATGGGATTTTTCCACATTAAGTGACAATGTAAGCCTAACTCTTTATAAAAATATTTTTAAAACTTACCGCCCTTTAAAGAAAAACATTTCTGAAAATGTTTCGGATGGCTGAAAAAACATACTTAAAAAGTTATCATTACTAATATAATTAACATCTTTCTGATACAATGATGATCTAACTAATGAGGTCGCACAAGGACGACAGTGTCTTCTAGGAAATTTTTATCTTTCATGCCAGATGTCATTCCATATCACTATATACTTTATTAGCCCCATTCTCCTACAATCTGCTGCTTCTAATTCTGTATACTTTATGATACTAGATTCTATTAAAAGTAAGTATGAAAACTAGATTTTCAATTCGTACTCATTATCTCTATTTTAAGTCTTAGGTTTTATATTTAGTATTTAGGTATTTCTAGATTTTTAAGGGTTATTCTGATTAGTTCCAAAGTTGAAAAATTCTCCCTCTATAATAAAGGTGGGATACTTGGTTTACCTTAATTCTTCCATAAAGAACATATCAAGGTTATTTTGCAACGTAATGCTAAAACAAAACCAGCATTAAATATATAGTCTGACAATATACTAACAAAATATAAATGGATAAAGATTCAAGGTTCTCTACTATGTACCACCGTGAATGAGTTAAAACACATATTCTATGTATGCACCAACACTCATAGTAGGATTTAGAAATTTTGTATATGAAATCCTTGTTCAATTGAATGATAAACGATTTTTTTGTAAAAACTAGGGTACAATTTTAAAAGCTACAAGCTCATTTATAATATAACCCTTTAATGAAAGGAATTCTTAGATTTTTTTCACTGCAGATTTACCCAATCATGGTTAGTGAATATTAGTGACATACTCTAATAAAAACGTTAGGTATGACAGAAAATGAATTATCAAAGCAGCTCACCATGCAGGTTTGATTTTGTAATAAGACTTCCAGCAACAATGGTATTCTGGTATCCTAGTTTCAGTGGAATCAAATCAAATAAAAATCTATTTAAAATCTATAGAACTGAGATCTAGAGCAACAAGAAAATAAGAGCCCAACAAACTGTTATATCATTTTAAATGTTCTAATCATTTAATTAAAAAAAAAAAAGACCTTTGTTTGAACAATCCTATTCTGGAGGAATTGTTTCAAGGTGAATGACATACATATATAAAAGATATACATTAAAACTACTTTTCCCCATTTTACCTTCGAGATCCTCAAGTTCTTTAGGTTTGGCCCAGCGAGATTCTTTTGTTTGAGAATTATAATAGTAAGGCTTTCCAGAGTCTGATTTGTATTCCTTCCAGGGGCATTTAGATAAGAGTTGCTAAAGAGAAAAAAAACTGTCTGTTAATAATAATATACTTAGCATCACTGATCATTTGCATGTATGTTTTCACTAATTACCAATTGTGATACAATTGTAAAACTTGTGAGATGATGATAATAATATGAACTATCAATTATTGAATAGTCACTGAGTGATGTCATTTGAATATATTATTTAATCCCTATAACACTGCAAAATGTATAACATAATTCCATATCTAGAGACGGTTACTTGAAGTCAGAAAGTAATGCATTTAAGGTAATATACTCATTAAAAAGCAAAACCAAGATTCAAAATCAGTTGTATATTAATATCAAATCCTATTTACTCTTATCATTTACACCCCATTATATGTAAAGATTGTCGTCCATATTTAATAGTCTTCTCAAATACTAATACTAGTTGGAAAACCACAAAAGTTGGAAAAAAACAAAATCTAGTTTAGTCACGCTCCGATTTCAGTTTTGTAGTTTATTATAACTCTGTATGAACTAACTTATGTAAGCAAACATGTAAGTATAATATACTTAAAATCTAATACACAAAACCTGTTAGGGTGGCATGAGAAATCTATTCAAAGCTTGAATCCAGACACAGTGTCTTGGACAAAGTACAGAATTAATATCATTGACTATTAATCAGTACTGGAATACATGTTTTTAAAAATCTACCAACCCCCACCCCCCAAGCATTGCTGTACGTATCAGTATGGGGACCTGGAAAATACCCTTACCTTCTCAAATTCCTTCATTAGGAAGAGAAGAAAACAAAAAGGTATACCACCAGCCACAATGAAACTTAAGCATAGCAATCTTAAATGCCAGATCAACTCTTACTTACTTTTAGCACCCCAGAGTTTCTAACTAAACCACATGCAACATTGCTTAATTCAGTTTATTCCTTCAACCTTAACTTTTTCTTCAGTATCTGTATATTTTGAATGGTAAAACTTACTACACCAAAACGAAATAACACACTTTTAAAAACAGCATTTCCTGCAAAGAGAAAACCTCCCACTCTAAGAGAAGGTACTTTAAGGTAACTTCATTCATCTCCACTACTCTTAACCCTACCAGAAATTTAAGAACTCAGTAGAAGTCATTTAAAATCACCCAGTTTCGCTACAAACAGAAAAAAATAAAGGACAAAGAAACAGCCTTCCCTGCTTCCAATTTATTCTTTAAATCACATTTCTTAAACTGATCTCACTCTACTAGGCTTCCTGAGCAGGGGCAAAATCACTAAACAAGATTAATCTGATGAGTTTTATTGCTCTTCTTCCTGATCAGTTTGACTACATTAGTCCTGTTTTTTTCCTGAATGTCTTTACAGATCCTCTTCTAGCATTTAAGCAGTACTGCTCTTTGGATAGTCGACTACTTACAAAATCCTAAAAAAAATATGCCCCAGTCGACTTCATGGTCCCTGAATTCCAGCCCTCAAAACTTTTACCTCAGCAGGTGTTTTAAGATCATCTGGTTTCTCCCAGGTAGACTGTTTGGTTTCAGTGTTGTAGTAATAAGTCCTTCCATCAGGTGATTTATGCTCAGTCCACATAGATTTCTAAAGATTAAAGATTATAAAAAGATATAAATTATTTAACAATGCCATTGACAATGAATATCAGTATCATTAGTTCCAAGGCAATAAATATATTAGGAAATCAATTAAAAGTATAAACTGGGCATATTTTGACAGTTTATTTCAGGATCTCTCTGAATTACAAAGATAAGACTACTCTCCTAAGAACAGTAACTTTATAACTTACATACACAAAATAGTCTTTCAGAATATAAATCTAAGCCTAGTGTATAAAAGAAAATATACGAACTAGATGCTAATATAGTTGAATTGACCATGTGATCATCTATTCATCTACTCTAGTCCAAAAAATACTTGTATCATCTTAGACAAAGTTCTAATTGACATGCCATAAAGACACAACTGTACAAGCTGGAAAACACAGGTTCTGGACAACAATCAAATTTTAACTATCAACAAGATGAAATTTAACAGGGATAAAATGTGTATGTGAATGTCTCAAAACAATAAAGGTAAGATAAAATTTTTCATGAATGAAACTGGTTTGACATAGAATAAAATCCATTATTAAGGTCAACAGAACACACAAAGAACCTACTAGAAGTTGCTAATGATACTTCAGGCAACACTAGATCTCTCTCAGATAAAGGTTGGTTAAAAGTTTTAAAACTTTTTTTCATCATGAATGAATGAATGATGCTATCAAAGGTAGTAAATCTACTTCCAACTAACAGATTTTTCAGATGGTCACAAATTTTACTATGCTTGAAGGAGGGTTACAAAAATGATGTATAGTATTTCTTCAAATTTAAGACATTATTGTACAAACCGTTAAGAAAAAATAAAGTCACTGCCAAATGATCACATGCTTTTTTATCACTCAGATTTTACTTCAAACTTACTGATAGTCTTACTTGCACATTAATTTTAACATATACCACTTTTAGGCATACATAACAAGAAAAATAGGCAAATGAAGCACTTAAGAAATCCCTTAAATTTCCTCACATTGAGACTTTCTATGTCAGAGTTGCTGATGTCCATTATATTCCAAATATAACCATCAAATATATTGGTAATATGGTATATCTTTAAAAAATCATAAATAAAAAATCATAAAGTGAAAAATCACTGGTACTGTTTCCTAATGTCTTTTGCACTTATTTAAAAAGCTGATTTACTTTTTCTTATCAACTTTAAAAAGAACTGACCTAGTTTTGATTTTTGTTTTGGGAATGTGACTGAACATAATGTGATTCATTTCTTTATCAATTTTTTCACCTTAATCATTTTATTCCTAGTTCCTAAGGGAGTGATATTACTTTTATGATTTTCCTTGAAACCAATGATGTGGGTACTTTTGCTGTTTACTCATGCACAACTGCTAACCTGACAATGGAGGTCACAGACACTATGGATTACAGCAGTAGTCTCTAACCCCCAGGCCATGGACCACAGTGCAGTTCCAGTCCGTGGTCTGTTGGGAACGGGGTTGCACGGCAGGCGGTGAGTAGTGGGTAAGAGAGCAAAAAGCTTCATTTGTATTTACAGCCACTCTCCATCGCTAGCATTGCCTTGTGAGCTCTGTCTCCTGTCCTATCAGTGGTGGCATTAGTTTCTCATAGGAGCGGAAACCCTATCATGAACTGCGCATGTGAAGGATCTAGGCTGTATGCTCCTTATGAGAAACTAATGCCTGATAATCTGTCACTGTCTCCCAACTAGACCATCCCATCTGCAATAAATTTCTGCATGCTATAGCAGAATAATTAGACAATTCTAAAGCTGTGTTAAATTCTAGCACCTTATACTGGATAAAACCACCATAATATCTCTTAAGCAAACATAACACAGATGCTGAAAAAAATAGTCTAGCTTTCTGTGATTAGCTTGCTTTAACTTCTTGTCAAAAGGTGGTGCGATCAGAAACACAAATATGGAAATTTCAACTATATGATAATGCTTTATTTCACAAGTTAGTGTTAAAGACAGATAAAGGAGTTTGTATTCTTCTTTTAAAAACAACTAATGATCTCAGTAGCATCTCAAAACTGCACTACCTAAACAGAGTGCTACCGTAAGCTGCAAAACTGTGTAGACTGCTTTAAACTTTCCAAGTCACATCTGCTAAGGAGTATTAAGAAAAGAGGAAACTCAGCAAAACCACGAGGAGATAAAAGAATAATTTAAAAAAGGAAAGGGGGAGACACTGTATAGCTGACCAAATAATGAGGAGGAAGAGAAGACACAGCTAATAAACAGAAATCAACTTAATATTCTCTACCTATTTATTTGAGCCTTTTAACTATACTACAAAACAAGTATAATCACTATCTTGCTATACATTAAAAAAAAAAAAAGGTTTAGCAAGGCTGGTAACTTGCTAATAGAGACTTGGGAAATGACACTGGAATATCGAGATGCTTTTCAAGACCACAATTATTTTGTTACCAACAGTTATTGTGTACATAAAAAATTAGACATGAAATGGTAGTTCTGAGAAATCAATTAAAACAACATTTTTTTGGCAAGTAGATAAATTGTGAGTATATCAACAAAATAAGGGAAAAAATTATCCTTACTCTATCTACAATCAATATGAAAAGAAAGTCTAATGAAAAATAAACATGGCCATAGACAGAATAGAGTTAACATATTAATGTTCAACTTCACTAGCCAATCAACAAAACACACATTAATGAAAACTTTTTGCTCATCAGATAAATGACAAAGACCATTAATATACAATGGGAAAGGAGTACAAGAAAAAGGGCACTCTCATGTGCTAACTGTTGGGAATGAAATGAGCATAAAGGCAACAGCAGTTCTTACAAATATTAAAAATGCAAACATCAGATAATCCTGAAATTTCACTCTGAAAAACTGCATTCATATTGTTGCAAACATGTAAAGGACGTTGTCTACAATATTATTTCCTGTAATGGTGAAAACTTAGTTAACTCAATGTCCAGCCATAGGAAAACGGGTCAAGTATGGCCCATTCATATTACTGATTATCCTATTTGTAATATAATAGAAAATGTCTAAGATGCAGTACCAAATGATATAGTGGCAAAAATATATACAGAAAAATCATTTGAAATGCAAAGAAAACTGGGCATAAAAAAAAGGCATACATATGTAACTATCACAAGTAATAAGCTCTTCAGATTCAGAAAAAGCTAGTCAACAAGACACAAAGAGGGTTGTAAAAAAAATTCAATATACACAAACTCAATCTTCTATGTGTCATGGAGACAAACACATATACACACACATTTGTACAATGTATAAGCTGGATTTAAGAAAACTAAGGAAAAAAAATAGCTATATCCAAACACTAAATAAATAGAAAAATCCCCTCACTACCCTAAATAAGGAAAATAAGAAAATGTAGGCCAGGCATGGTGGCTCACGCCTATAATCCCAACAGTTTTGGAAGCGGAGGCAGGTGGATCACCTGAGGTCATGAGTTCGAGACCAGCCTGGCTAACATGATGAAACCTTGTTCCTACTAAACATACAAAAAAATTAGCTGGGCATGGTGGCACACACCTGTAATCCCATCTACCTGGGAGCCTGTGGCAGTAGCTTGAACCTGGGAGGTGGAGGTTGCAGTGAGCTGAGATCATGCCACTGCACTCCAGCTTGGGCAACAAGAGTGAAACTCTGTCTCAAAAAAAAAAAAAACACAAAAAACAAAAACAAAAACAAAAAGCCAAATAATAAATCAGAAGTGAGGAAAAACACAATCGTAGATACAGATTTACAACAAATCAAACCTACAGAAAATTATTTCCAAGCAAATCACTCTACCAAAATTTACACCAGAAAAAGCACACCACTTAAACATCACAACAACACAAAACGAAAGATACAAAACCAGATGGTTTCACAGTAGAATGTTATATAACCTTTAAAGAACACAAAATTGCTATTTTATATCATGATTTCAGATCATGGGAAAAGAGATGAAATGCTCTTGGCTTAATTAAAAAGAAACAGAAAGGGTACCAAAAGAGCATCATGAATTTAAATTTAACAACGTATACACTATGACCAAGAGTAGGTCAATATTAGAAAATCTATAGAAGAAATTATTTCCATTATCTAATCAAATCAAAAAAAATATGCAATCCCACTATTAAACTTGGTATGATCAAATCACACCCAGAAAACTAAGTTCACAAGTATTCAAAAAAAAGAAATGCTCAAATAAGAAAAACTCAAATAATAAAAGACAATCAGATAGCATCCTAAAGCTATTTCCATTAAAATCACAAACAAAAACATGTCTGTAATCACTAAAATTCTAGCTAATATACCACAGCAATAAAATGAAATTACTAGCGTTAAATTTTGGAGAGGAAAGTTAGTTCTCTTGCTTTTACTGCTATTTTTATAAATATAAAATTCAAGTGAAATTTAGTCAGTCTTAAAATGCTATTTGAATTGATAAAGGAATCTGGTATGTCATTGGTCACAAGACAAATATTCAAAATAATCCGAATAGACGATATTTAGGTTAAAATAAAAATAGGAAAAATAATGTACCCACAATGTAACAACTTTTTCTTTCTCTTTTTCTGAGAAAGAATCTCACTCTGTTGCCCAGGCTGGAGGGCAGTGGCTTGATCACGGCTCACTGCCGCCTCAAGCTTCTGGGCTCAAGGGATCCTCCCTCTTCAGCCTCCTGAGTAGCTGGGACTACAGACACACACCACTATGCCAGGCTAATTCTTTATTTTTTGTAGAGACACAGTGTTGCTTTGTTGACCCGACTTGTAACACATTTTTACAAAGCAAACAGAAACTTTTAAAATGGGATACCTATTTACCTCACCTAAACAGAATTTAAAACAAAAACCATAATGGAAAAGTGGGAGACTATACACTGATAAAAAGTAATAGATCAAAAATTATCCTAAATACATATGCATATGGCAATTTAACCTTGAAATTCAGAGGGCAGCAACAGAAAAACACAGGTAGAAACAGATGACTCATCTTTTCTAGTTAAAGATTTCAATTCGTTATCTTCTTATGCAGATCCAAGCAGATGTAAGACATGCCAAGATGTAGGAATATAACAAAGTAATTTTACATAGTGCACAGAATATTCTTAAAAACTAGCCCTGAACAAGTACATGAAGCTTTAATAAACTGTAAAGAAACTTACACCTTAACAGACTGTGCTTTCTGATCATACTGCAATAAGGGTAGCTTATAAAAAAAAAAATTCCCCAAAGGTACAATCCATAAAATATTGATAGGCTGAAATAACAGATTTAATTTTCATTAAAATTAGAAACTTCTGCTCTGTTAAAGATAGTCTGAAGAAGACGACGACAAGCCACAAACTGGGAGAAAAAAGACTTATCTGATAAAAAACTTATCTTAAAACTCTACAATAAAACAATCTGATTAAAAAATAGGCAAAAAAAAAAAAAAAAGATGCTCCAAATCACATATAACTAGCTGCAAATTAAAGCAAGATACCATATTATACACCTATTAAAATGGCAAAAATCCATAACACTGATAACATCAAATGCTGGTGAAGGTGTGGGACAACATGAATTCTCATTCACTGCTGTCACAGGAATTCAGAGTGATACAGCCACTTTGGAAGACAACCTCAAGGTTTCTTATAAAACTAAACATACTCTTACTATATAATCCAGCAATAAATAGTGCTCATTATTAATATCTACCCAAATTAGCTGAAACTTATGCTCACACAGAAAATCTGCACATGGATGTTTACAGCAACTTTACTCATAATGACCAAATCCTGGAAGCAACCAAAACGTTATTCAGTACATGAATGGGTAAAATGTGGTACATTCAGATAATGTATTATTCAATGGTAACAAAAAATGAAGTATTAAACCACAGAAAGACAATGGAGGAAATCTTAAATGTATATTACTAAGTAAAAGAAGCCAATTTGAAAAGGCTACATACTATATGATTTTAACTATATGAAAATCTTAGAAAAGCAAAACTATGGACACAGTAAAAAAAAAAAAAAAA